ACAACAAAAGCTTTGTGTTTATGGTTCACAGCTCTCACCCTGCCAGATCCCACAGCTCTTCTCTTGCAGGATCTTTGCGGTAGAGGGAGCTGGTAGCATGGCATCTCCATAGAGTGGAAAGGCCGAATTGGGCACCTAATTTCTGCTCGGAGAGCACAGATTAGAGATTCAAGATAGGTAATATGTCTATATAGTCTAGCAATTTGTTTACAAAGGGGACAGTATCCAAATTTGAAAAGAGTACTGCGAAATACAGGTACAAAACAACTATTACATTGAACTAAGCTGGTCATTTTGAAATAAAATAAAATCACAGTCTCAGGCACACTAAGCCAGAATGTATTATTGCTATTTTTGGTTTATAGATATATGATTCATGCGCCATTAGGCGCGCAGGCCACTACCATAGTCCTATGGATCTCTTTGACTCCCCTCTTGCAGCCAGTAGCTGCACACTCCAGCCTCAGGAAAGTTCAAATGAAATGAGACAATTTTACTCTACTGTAGTCCTATGTATCTCTTGACTCCCCTCTCGCAGCTAGTAGCTCCACCCTCTACCCTCAGGAAATGAATTTTTTTTCATTTGAACTTTATTTATTTAAATACTCCAGAAAGTGGGTGGGCATATGTGAGCTACAAAATGTCAAGCTAAAGAGGCAAATTAACAAATTAACATCTTGAGTGACGGCTAATCCTTGCTGCCTTGCTGCAAGGAATTTTTGCCTATGAATATAGCTATCTATCTTTTATCTCTTAAGTGCTGACATCTTCTGTAAGCTATTAAGGAAGGTGGGGGCTGCTTTCTTCCTCTAAGGAAACATGTTTTTCCATTTCTCATTCAAGGAAATATATTCTTCCTTTTTAATATTTCTCAAATTATTTCATTCTTCTAGGAGAGGGGAGGGTGCTAACTTTCTAACATTGGTGCCATGTTACTATGCCATATTACCATGAGAAAACTAAAACAAATTGGAAGGAGAATCCACTTATTATCAGTGACTAATCGTGTCTTGTCCAGTCCAAAGCAATGCAAGAGAAACCTGTCCCAAAGGTGCTTTTTCAAGAGGCAAATGGACTTTCTGGAAACCAAGAAAGTCCAGTTACCTCTTGAAAAAAACACCTTTGGGACAACCATGATGTGGATGACTGAAGAAGCCCCATAGACAAGATTCTTGTGCTCAGTGAACTGACAAAGCAAAGTTATCCATAGGTAATCATCCAGATTTAAGGAAAGATCACATGTCCCCAGAAAAGCAGTAAAAAAATCAGACTGCCAAACTTACATCCTGCCTCTCAGTCATTTCTTCTATGGCTATACCAACCCTTCTGTAAATAGCTGTTGCAGCCGTGTTGGAAGTATATTTCAAAAAGCTTAAAACAACCCTTTACGAATCTTTAAGAAAGTTAAGCCTCAGGAATAAAAGCACAACAAAAATCTCCTGGCAAGGAGGACTTTGGAGAAGCTCAGTCTACAAACAGAAAGTCTGGACGTAAGGCTTAAAATGTAACAAGCTTAACCCAGAGGCAGTTTTTGAAAACACTTAAAGCAACAGGGGAATTAAGATAAGGATTAAGCTAGAAATACAGGCATACCAGAATGTTTCCTTCCTGCCTTCCTTGCAGGATTAGCCCTGTAAAGTGGGAAACAATTTCTTCCAACAACCGGTTCTCCAAACTGCTCAGAAAATTAATATCCAGTTTGCTAGAACTGGTAGCAGCCTCCTCTGGACTCGAGGAAAAAGATGTCTCTGTGGTCATGTCGCTGGCATGACTAAACGCCAAAGACACCCTGAGCACTGTTACCTTCTCACCAAAGTTGGTCCCTATTTTTCTACTTGCATTTTTACATGCTTTTGAACTGCTAGATTACGAATAATCAATAAAATAGCTGTTAATTCACTTATCTGAAATTAAAGCTGGAAACCTAATATTAATTCTGCAAGTTGTAACCAGATGTGCGGAAAGATCTAAATGTAAGGAATGGAGCAGGAATACAGGACAAATAATCAATTACTTGGAACAGAAGGAATCTACATGTGCTGATGAGTTGCTCATTTCTACTCTCCAGTCCTGATTCTACAGAAATCATAATCTTCATTTATATATAACTTTTATTCTTTTATCAATGTATAAAATACAAAGAAAAATAAAATTAGGAAATAAAGAAAAAAGAGAAGGGGAAGAAAATATGAGGTACAAGAGATTTCCCCCCTAATAATCAAAACTTTAACTGTATCTAAGTTGGTTCCCCTTTTTTTAAATGAACCTTTATGTATAATCCAAAGGGATTTCTAATCTTCCTTATATGGGTACCATTCAATATTCATATCCAATTATACTCATCGTAACACTATATATTGTATACATTAGTAACATTATCAATTATTTATTTAAACTATATCTATTGTCAATACATTTCACTAAGTTTAACTAGTTTTAAATTATATTCTTCCATCNATACAATCAAGATCAAGTGAGGTACTAATACCACTATATAAAGCCCTAGTAAGACCACAACTAGAGTACTGCATTCAGTTTTGGTCACCACACTATAAAACAGATGTTGATATTCTAGAAAAAGTGCATGAAGAGCAACCAGGATGATTAGGGGACTGGAGACTAAATGATTACAGGAACTGGGCATGACTAGTCTAGTGAAGAGAAGGACCAGGGGAGACATGATAGCAGTGTTCCAATATTTGAGGGGCTGCCACAGAGAGGAAGGAATCAACCTATTTTCCAAGGCACCTGAAGGCCAGACAAGGAATAATGAATGGAAATTGATCAACGAGAGATTCCGCCTAGAAATAAGGAAAAATTTTCTGATAGCAGGAACAGTCAACTAGTGAAACAGCTTGCCTACAGAAATTGTGAGAGCTTTATCACTTGAGACTTTCAAGAAGAGATTTGACTGCCATTTGTCAGAAATGGTGTAGGGTCTCCTGCTTGAGTGGGCGGGTTGGACTAGATGAACAATAAGGTCCCTTCCAACTCTGTTACTCTGTTAAATCTGTTAAATATTTCTAAGCCATCTTACAAATATTAGTTCCTTAGTTTTTTAAAAAAATATCCATTCTATTTTGTACTCTGTATTGATGTGACTTTACAACTTTTGGTTTTCATGTGAGGAGTCACTACTAAAGCAGAAACCTATGATATAAAATGGGTGTTCTTATATTACTCTTACTATTACTCTGTCACACCACTCCCTCAGCTTCCTGACTGATACTTTTATGGCAATTAAGATGACATGTTTTGCTGGGCCTAGCACTTTTGTCAAAAGCCTGAATTATGATATAAAAGAAGAACTGAAAAGTTATGTGGAGTTATTTAATACTGTGCAAAAATATGTGACGTTTCACAAGAGGATGAGGACATTTTGGGTTTTTCTTCAGTTGAAATTGCAGGAGAGCTAGAAGCTGTTTTTAATCCACAAATCCTTGTAGGCTCTCAGATATTCTACACTAACCAGATTAAAGATGGGCTATAAGAAATAGTTTGGTTGCTACTGGTGTATTGCACCCCCTGGTAGCACCTGAATCACTAGATTCTGTTATCAAGCTTGCTATAAAGTCGTCAAGGCTCTTAGGGATTTCAATTAGTCCAGGGCAATTCATGAGTTAAACCTGTTCTAAGTCTTGGATGCATATTGATAGCTTCACATTAAATCTATTTTTGTCTGAGAGTCATTTGAAACAATTAGTAGTGGAAAATATAACATCAGTCCAGATCACTCTCTGGTTGCCTTCTTCCTCATTTAAAGTACCTTTCCCAGGAGAAACCAGAGTTTATTTCATTGATTCATCCCAGGTACTTGATAGATAGACCCTAAAAAATGGGGTTCCACGGGGAATCTTGAGAATCTGAAGCCTGGAATGAGTGGGTAGTTAGGGCCTTGGTGTGCATAATCTCTCAGCAATGTTTAATTTTGCCTAATTAGGGTAAGGTGACCAGATTTTCAGATTGGTAAAGTGGGACACCATTGACCGGGGGCGAGGGGGACTTGATTAAAAATNTTTTTTTATGGGGCCAGTTGCCAACCTGACCCCAACCCTCCTTCTTTTTCATCCGGGCTTGGGACCGGCAATGGTGGAGTTGTTGTTGTTGTTGTTGTTAATATTTTTATTATTATTATTATTATTATTATTATTATTACACACAGTCAACTGAACATTTAAAAATGTGTCACAAATACCATTATTGTTATTATTGTTGTTGTTATACATTAAATCAGCATAAGATCTTAGTGGTCCTTGTGGTGATTAGTTCTCAACCTGGCACATCAAGTCTTCCAACATTGCATCCATCATCACTGTACTCACGCTCATCCATCTTACTGCTGGTTATGCTCTTTTTCTTTTTCCTTTCACCTTACTCAGTATTATGGAATTCTCAATGAGCCAGGATCGTCTTATAAAATGACCCGATTATGATAGTTTGAACCTGGTCATTTTTGCCTCAAATGAGAAATCTGGATTGATTTTTTTTTTATGGTCGTTTATTTGGATGTGTAGCTATGCATGTTATTCTCAGGAATCTTCTTTCAACATCAATATTCAAAAGCATTATTTCTACTGTTTCTACCTTGCCTCTTTAAACTCCAATTTTTAGTTCTTAAAGACTTACAGGGAAAGCCGTTATCTACATGATACTCATCTTTGTACATATAAATGCCATATATATCTCAAGATATACTGCATCAAATATGTAAAATGTTGCGTTTCACAAATTTTCCAATTCTGCATAAAGTAGTCTGGTTTTTAAATTATTATTTGCTATACTTTTTAAGAATGTTCTTTTATATCTCTTCCTACAAGTTATATCCATTCCTAAAAGTTAGGTATATCTATATTGATAAAGCTATTTCTAAAAATCTCAATAAAGAGTAGGTGAAAAGATTAACATTAAAAAATCGAGGTTATAAGAGGTAGAGATCTGCTGGATTTTTCTTTGGAGGGATAGCTAACACACTGGGTTTTCCTATCTTCACAGCCCCAACAGAACCTTTGCTGTGCAAATTTGCTGATGGAGGACAAAAGAAACGACAAAATCAAAACAAATATACTCAGAATGGGAGACCCTGGCCAAGAGAAGGAGAGGTAAGTCAAAATAGTTTTTTGAAGAAATTTGATAAACTTGAAGAAAATGAGTTTTCAGCATTATTAAGTCAAAATTAGAAAAATGAAGCAAAATTCAAATGAGTTTAATTCCATTTACCTTTGATTCAGATTAGAAGTATGCATTAATTATCATAAGACTTGAGATTGCAACCCAATACTCAATGAATTCATAAAAACTAATATTTTGCAGTGCTGATAAAATAAGGTTTTTTATACTTCACTATTGTAAATTTTAGTTTTGATTGCGTTTAGATTGGAACTAACTTAACTTTCATTTTAATGGGAACTAAATAGTGTGAATCTATCAGCCCAGTTCTTGCTATTAAATAATATCCAGACATGACAGAAAAACATAAATACCATAATTTGATCTTGACAGAGAAATTAAGCTGTATTGGATTGGATTGTTCTATTGTTGTAGGAGAACTTTGTTGCTTTCTGCAAAAGCATATGTAGCCAGTTTGTTTTAACTGATTTGGTTATCATGTGAAAGTATATCAGAAGGACCTTGGTCTAATTATGAGTAATTAGTTACATCATGTGAGACCATTATAATCTAAGGTGAAATTTAGGCTAGATAAGAGTGGGGGAAATCATATCCTACCAGGAAACTAGACTGTTAGATAATATTACTCATATTATCTACCAGCTATGAACAAGGTCTTTTTGAAGAGTAAGCTCTTTTTAAAGAGCTTGAAAATGGAGTTTTTCTTTCTAACTTATCATTGAAATAGAATGAAATGTTTTGTTTTCAAATAGTTTGAATCTAAGATGTATCCAAAGAGTGATACACAATATATATTTTAGGTAAGAAAAATCAAAAGTACACATATAAACTGGGTGAAACCAGGGTTAATAGCAGTGTCTGTGAGAGAGATCTTGGAACTTAGTGAACAAACAGCTAAATATGAGTTAGCAGTGTGCAGCAGCAGCAAAAAAAGCCAATGCA